CAGGAACATCCAGGTCACTAGTTTTATTGCTAGGACTGTCCTGCTCTAAGTGAATGGAAACACCTAAATCACCCCTCTGTAAAGGAGAGAGATGCTTTTTCCATGTACTTTGTGGAAGAAAAGCTGTGTAGCCTCTGTGGGAGTCCCTCTCCAGGAACTGTGTTGGTCCTGTAAGCAGTCATTGCTTACCCAAGCTACATCTGTTGTGATATTAAAAAGTAATTGCATATCCTTTGTGTAAGTGCCATTTTTCTTCCACTTTAGAAGTCATGGGTGGGGAATCTGCCCACCCATGGGCTGGCACTGGGGGAAGGTTTCTTGCAGAAAGGTGGGGACAGTCTGCCTCAGTGACTTCAAGCAGAGGCCAAGCCCCTCTGGCCAGCACATGTTCCTCCAAAGTTTACACTGCTGAGTGCTTTGCCTTTCTCCTTCTCTTTTGCACCAGTGTCCTTTTTCCACATTTCTTTTCAGCCAGATGAGTCCCCTGACCCAACTCAGTGTGCAATTGCATATGTGCAATCAGTGCAAGACACTTGTAAAATTAGTTAGCTGTAAAAGTGCTGAGCTGAGAGCAGCAGGGAAGTCAGGAATCTGGCCTGAGCCCATCTGGGGCTGCCACGGCGGAGTTTCTCGTTCGCGAGCAGCCTCTCAGGGGCGGCCAGTTTGCTGCCAGGTAATGAGAGGAGCCGGCCGATAGTGGAGCCTTGTGTGGGGATTGTTTCATCTGTCAGGCTGCCAGGAGATACACAACAATTGCAATCTCCACTGCTCCTCCCTGCCACGAAGATTAGGGGAGTTAGTCATGTGGAGCTACGAGACTGATAGGAGAGATGATAAAAATGCACAAACATTAGACTGGTGTAACAATTAAGGAAAAAAAGGATGGTTCAAGGATGTGTGTAATTAAGAATAATGGCTTGAAGAGAAAACATCTTTTTATATGTGTTACTATTTTTACACGACTTTGTCTGGAACTCAGAAAACAAAACTGAGGAGGAATCACAATCTTTTCATTCAATATTACAAAGTGAGACCTTGCTCTTGAAAATAAATCAGCATGTCAGATTTAAATTTATTAATTTGATTTGTTTGAATACCAGATTAACTTAAAAAAAACAGTTCAAAGAGCAGACCCTTCTTTCTGATCTGCCTGTGAAATAGTCCTGTAGTGGGCAATTTAACCTTTTTAAGGGTCAACAATCCTAGAAACCCTGCTATGATTATCAAATAATTCATCCATTATTAGTAATAATCTTGTTAGTAAAAGTGATATGAAACAGAATATGCCCGAAAGAAGATGTGAAGAAAGTATGTAAGATGATTTTATTTTCTCTTCTAATCAATTTTTCTACTAGGCATAAAAAAAAAAAAAAAAATCAGAAAAACACTGGCAAAAACACCTGGGCAAAATAGCTTTTTATCAAACAATTAATCAAAGGCGCCCTCTAAAATCCCACACTGTAGGAGGGGAAGATGGCAGCTCCTATGTCCCGGGCTGGAAGGTAGGAGAGCACACCCTGTCCATGGGAAATGAGTAGTGAAGAGGGGAGGCATGGTGAGCTGGGGTGGGCAGAGGTGTCCCAGGTGCTGCTGCCAAGACCCAGTCAAACACCCAGCAGTTCTTAGCCCATCGTGTAACACTCACCAGCCCAAAGCCAGACCAGCATTTTTACCAGACATTTGCTTTGGCACCAGATGCTTGGCAGGAGGGACTGTACATGAAATCCAACCACTGGCTGCTCCTCACTCAGGGTAACTCTGGAAGAGGCAGAAAAAAGAGATATAGGATACAGGTGGGGGAAAGAGGGTGGTGAGGAGGGGAGGAAGAAAGGAAACACAGGAAAGCATGAAGAACAGGGGAAGCAAATCAGCAAGACAAGTAGACAAAGCAAGGAGTATTTTATATCAAAACCAGACTTCAGGCATATGAGAAACTCCCTCTGTTTTATCCCAGTGCTCATCAGAGCTTTCTGCACTGTGCTGCTGCTCCTCTGTGCCTTTGCCCAGCAAATTCTGTCAAACAGCCAGCTGAGTATGCACTGTGCCTCTAATACGCCAAGGCAGAGCTAGCTGCCCTTCCAGGCTGTGCTGGAAACTTGGGAAAAAGAGAAAGAAAAGAAATTCTGTTCTGCAAGGCCTGGTGGTATTCCAAGTACTTGAGACAGAATGTAGGTTAATGTAATGGGGATTTAACATCTCACCATCACTAATCAGAGTTATGAGTTTGCCAGCAAAGCCATCACAGACCACCTTTTCAGGCACTGAGAACTTAGCTATGATCATATGTTCTGGGAGTAACAAATTTTCTCTGTTTATAAAATAAAAAGTCATTTTGTGGCTGCTGAAACAGTGGAAGTGGGGATGTACAAAATGTGAGCATCTGTGAGGAACGATTGGAAGGTATGAGAGCAGGAATAGTGTCTTCTTACAACACCTTTAATATATTGAACCATAATGGGAACAGAGATAAACAGGACTCTAACTTAGGCAACTACCTTAAATTAGTAAACTCTAGAGGTTGCCGTAAATTTAATTAAAGGCTGATATAAACAGCCATGATTTTCACTGTCTTCTGAAACTGGATAACCACAAGCTTTGGCAGATGACCAGGAGAAACAGTCTCATCAGTGTGTATCCCTGAGCTGCCTTACTTCTGCCCCTGGAAGATAAAACACCATGAATCATGAAGAAAAGTGAATGGAGCAGATTGTGAAAGCTCTGCAATGAGATAAAGGGAAAGAGGCACTTCATCAGCTAGGTAGCTCTAAGACTACTCAGGGATTGAGAAAAGAATAATCAACATATTTTCTAAAACTGCAAAGCCAACAGAAGAGTGTTGAGCAATGGGTTTCTCCCTGCCCCAGATTAAGCATTTTTCAACCAAGATCTACAAGTGAAAACAGGGAAATAATCCTTCCAGATGCGTTAAATATCAGGTATTAAGCACAAATCCCATAAACTTTATTCTGTCCTTCATGTCCCCTTAGATGCAGCTCACATACTTTCATAGTACACAGTGAAAGAAAAATGCTTCATTATAAAACCTGATATTGATGTCCAGTCTCTGACATGACACTGCTTCCTACTTTGGAGAAGATACCCTTGGGCAGCAGGAAGCTCCTTTTCCCTTTGCATAAGATAGATAAATTACTTTTCACAGAACATCTTCAAAACAGAAGCATTTGCAGTAGTTTGTGTTAGTAGTCTCTGAAGTAAGAACGAGATCACCCCTGGGTCATTCACCTAATTTGATGTGCATCAGAACATTTCTGTCACACTGATCACAACACCCAGTGTGAAATGCATGCTGGCTTCACAGTGGCTGCAGAAGGGACAAAGTGTGTGGCTGCAGCACTACCCAGCAACCCTTCAGAAATCTAGACCCAGCACTGGGAGTTTTCACTCCATCACAGCTTTGCAGTGTGGGGGATTTTGAACCAGTCTGTATTGAACCAGCACTGCAGATGGCTCCCGCTGGACCATGGGCTGATGTATCAGTAAAATTAATCTAATGTGGAAAAGATATGTAGCTGAAAATATATATATATAAAATACAGATGCAAAGAGAGAAGAGAAGGAGGTTAATGAGTTAAGGATTTTAAAATTAGACAAGATATGATTCACTGACAGTTGTTCTCAGTAAAGTGGCCAGCCTAATTAAAATATCATCAATAATCCATTAGATGACTGGCAATAGTTTATGTGCAGCAACCATTTGTTAAAATAGCTCATGTATTTCATAGCAATGGAATTTACAATTTTGTTCAGAGGGGAAAATAAACAAACAACCCTTTTAGTTTTGAAGAAGAACTTAAAAATATATGGTGTAATCCATTGCAATGTCATGTGCGTGACTCCAATGAGAATCTGAAACAATGCCTCTAATTTGTGTGAATTGATTCCATTTATCTTAATCCTGTTCCCCAAGGCTCAGGGCCCCTGTGCTCAGCAAGGCAATGGCTACGTAATTTGGCATTTCATCAGGGTGCCACCAAATTCAGCATTCCCCTGCGGAATTCCTTATTTTGCTGCAGGCAGTTGCTCAACCTTTTGTTTTCTGTCTTCTGACTTGCCTCTTACCTCCTCTCCTTTCCCCATGGGGAGAAGGTAATTGAATTCCAAGGCATGCTCCCTCTGCTCCTCCATGGAGTCAGGCAGCAGGGGGCTGGAAAGCGACCATCTGAGTGCAGCCTGTGGCCAGGAGCAGAGTAAAGCATACTGGATCACATGCTGGGCCTCAAAAGGAGCAGAGCAGCTAGGGGACCTGGGCAAGGGCTCCTGAAACTGGCTGCAAGAATGCTGCTTCCCTGGCAGTCATGAGAAAAGGGGTTTGATTTATATTTCCAAAACAACACTATGGGAGACAAGACCTTGGGCACAGGCTGGGGTCCTTTGAAAGGATGATAGAAAAAATCTCAGCTTTAGTAATTATGGGGGCAGGAGGGTGGTTTTGCAAAAAGTCAAGTGTTGCCAAGTCCTGGTCATCTGCCAAATCTGTCCAAATCTTGACAAAAAGTATTATATCTCAGGACAACTACATATAGTTTACTTAGATTTTAAAATATCTACATAAATGCTTGTGTAGGGAAACCTGTTAATTGTCTCAGAACTCCCTCACATGTATGGAACTAAGTGATATTTTGGCTTGTGTCACAAAACCTAAAGGGGTGCTTGGTGATGCACAGCCTTTCAGCTTGAGCCCCCTTCCTAAGTTTTTACTCTTTCCTCTGACAGACTCACACTTACCCATCCTTCATCTTAACAATTACACAAATGGGCCACAGCAACTGTTTCCCCCCAAGCACAGCACCTTGATGCTGGGATCTCCCATGAGGACTGTCAGTCCCCTGCTTGGAAGATGAGAGATGTTGCTTTTGTGTTGCTTTCTTTCCTGCTGAATGAGGGTCAAATGTCCCTACACCTTTCCTTCAGCCCTGGTTCCCTTCCAGTGTTTGTGACACGCTGCCTTCTGTCACACAGGGAACAAGAGGAGGCCTAGAGGACACCACTTGGAGTTTCCTTAGCTCCAGGTCCTGTCTGGGACCCTGCAGCCCATCTGTCCTTGGCTCTAACATGCATTTTCAGCCATGACTGTGTCATTCTTCCTACACTTGTAATGCTACATTTCATTTTTTTTTAATATTAAGGAACAATGTTACCTATTGGAACTCTGGGAAAAAGCTAACACATTTTAAACTGTTTAGCTGAAATAAGTATTAGCAAGTTTTTTTAGGGTGAAGCACAAAGAAAAAGAATCTTTTGGGCTTATGAAAAATGTCTAGAGAATCATAAAATGGAATTTCAGCCCATTTTGTGAAGGGGAAGCTTTTCTTGTGGAATTCTTCCAATAAAGCAGTTTTGAGAAAAAAGTTTTATTGACTGCAATATTGTCCTATCTGTGTAATGCACCATGCTATGAGTATGCCCCTTGTCTTCATTACTGCACATTCCTATTAAGAAAAAGAGAAAGTAGTTCTTGCACCATCATCACTTTGTCTCCTTCTCATCTCACCATGACATAATGAAATTGGAATTGGACGGATAGGACAGGATCCTGAAGGTCACCTCACTCTGGCAGCTTCCAGCTCAGAATCATAGCCAAAGGTGTTTGCAACAGTACAAGTTCTACCTTTAGATTTATCACCCTTCAGGAGCTTGAAATCAGCTTTTAGCACATGGGTTTCAATATAGAGCACTGGAGCTGAAAAGAATTATGTTGTTTTTCTTTACAGGAAACAATTGCCAGGATGTCATATATGTGCTGGGCAGTGGAGTGAGGCTGTACAGGAGCTGCATTTGTACAATTCCAGACAACATCTCTTGGCTGCGTCACTGTGAAGCCCAACTGAGCCTTGGAAGTCTCGTTTTTCTGTAGTAGTATAAAAGTCTAAGCAGATCAGACCTTGTTTTGTCTGGTATTTAAACTTACCACCAATGTTGTTCATCCAGGCTTTCTTGGTTTATGCTTGCATCTTCATGTGGAATAGCAGCAGAAGGAAAACAAAGCTCTTTCTTGGTTTTTGTTCTATGTACTTCTGTGTGTGTGTGTGTGTGTGTATCTGCACAGTCAGTGGCTTAAAAGACACTGTGCCTGGATCCTGCTAGGAAGTAGGAACAAACACTGCACCAAAATAGCAGGGAAGAGGACTTGCAGGGAATGTAGTGGTGTATTGTGTTAGTGACCCATGATTTCAAGTAGTTTGAACTAAGCTGCGAATCAAAGCATAGCTGCAACATGTTGCACTAAGAATCTTTAGACAAGAAATTCAATTTTGTGGCCAAATGTGACAACAAACTGTAAAGACAGTAAAATTTTGTGTGAATTACCTAAGGTTTGACTGCATCCTCTGCTATCTGTTAAAACATTGGTATGATGTTAACAAATGATAAATTTTACAGATAAAGGATATGCATGTAATTAACAGAGATTGTCTTGTCTTAATCCTTAAAAATAATAGAACAGCTTATTTCAGGTTGTTTTACTTGTAAGCAGTTGTACACATGCTCACCTTCATTTCTCCAGGTCTCATGCACTTAAATGGTGAAGTTAAATGTGCATGTAGAATTTGATCATTGCTCTTTAAAATCTTAAAAATTTTAGCAAACAAACCCAAATATAAAAAGATTAAGATTTATTCTGATGACTAGTATATAAATTTGGCTGGACCACATTTACAGGAAGAATTTTGTTTAAGAGTCTTAAACAAAATTTAGTGAATGTCTTTGAAGTCCTGTGTATCTTTTAACAATGCAAATGTCATCCTTCTGGGGGAGGGGGAAGGGAAATGATTTGAAGACCCTTTAGTTTCTAGGATGTCATGCTGCTTGTTTTTCACAATATTTCCAAAAAGTTCTAATAGCCTCTTTTTCATTAGTGTTACTTTGTTCACTCCTGAAGCTATGTGAAGTGAACATAGACTTGATATGGGATCCATTTTCTATAAATTATCATAACTAAGTTTGGTTGCTCTTTTTACCTTTTTCCAAAGTTTGTTAGAGGTTTACGGCTGAGAAATGTATGCAACAAACTTAAAGTACAGAATTAATCTGAACTTTGAAATGTCAATATGAGAAAACAGATATTGATACGATTTTTAGTCTAAATGTGTAATTATCCTTTGTTTATTAAAACACAATCATTAGCCCAACATTAAAAAAACAACGGTTGGACTTTATGCAATTTTTACTAATTTAAATTTCTCAAACAATTTAAAAATTTTTTAAAGATTGTTTAAAGTAGATGTTATGCTCTCAGGAGTCTCTTTTGAAAGAGAAAAAAATTAGAAAATAACTGCTGCTTGTTTAAAAACAGTAAAGTGTCTACAGATGCCCCTATCAAAAAAACATAGTAAATAAGTATAATACAGATTTTAGTGATGCTTTTCCTTCAGTGATTCATTATTCAGTTTATGTCTCCTATCTTTCTATGAAATGCATAGAAGTTAGATGGATGATAAAAGCACCACTGAAATGGTTGTTATTTCTCTACCTTGTTGTATGTGTAAAATCACATTTTCTTTCTATAAAGGGCCACTTTCTGAGGAAAAATATTGTAAAAACTGCACAGAACAGAGCTATTTCCCCCCCACTGCTAATTTATCAGGTCTATGTAATTGCTGAAGGCCCAGTTGTCTCCCATTAACTGTTTTTCAGGTGCCAGTGGTGGTGCTGATGTTTAATCTGCGACACTTTTCCGTACTTAGAAAGTGGTGTGACACAATCCACAGTTTTAAGACTAAACTGTGATTATTTCTGTTGTTTGAAAAGGAAAAAATAGGACTTTATGACAGATACATCCTGTGTCAAACTGGCTCAGTGCATCTATTTCAGACAATTGTCTATTAAAGGGCAGAAGCTAATTTGTGTAGCAGCAGAACACTCCTAAATATTTAGGTGCCTAAAAAGTTAAAATGTTAATTTTCAGTTCACACAGTGCCAGAGTTTTGCCTGTATTGCATATTGCAGACTTGAACAGCAACGCCAGCTTTGTGCTGTATCACTAGTAGAGCTCCAAATGAAGTTTTAGTAACAAATAGTGACAAACTCAGATTTATAGGATGAGAATCAGCTTGGGACATGAAGCAAATTTTACAAACTATCAGAGGCTGCTTTTTTATTTTTTTAGTATTTCTAGGTTGCTGTAAATGGTATGACACGGGTGAAAAACATAGAAAAACTTGACTTAAAATTCCGGGATTAAAAGAATCAAATGTCTTTTGCAAGACAGTCACCATCTGATTTCACTGCAGATGGAGAAAAAAAACCAACCCTTTACACTTTAGTCTCCCATGCCCTTCTACAAGGAAGAATGTATCATGTTCACTGAGTGGGAGATGTATTACATTTTTAAAGAGTAGTTAAGGGTTTTCTGCTCTGCAGTGAAAGAATGTAACACATAAATTGTTAACTCTGCCGCGATAATGTGCAAACAGAAATAATCATTCAGAAATAAAAACCATTGGAAGCATCCCACAGACAGTGAGGTGATATTAAATGACAATATTAGCTACAGATGTTTTCATCTGAGTATAAACACACCTTGGTTTGATGGTAGCTCTAGGAAGGAGCTGGAAGAGAGTAAGCAACACTTTCTCCTCCTCACTTTTAGTGTTTAACAAGCATCCTAACCACGATGGGTTTCGTTGGATGAGGCTACTAATTATTTTGTAGTCAGAAAGTGCTCTATAAAAGGCATAAGAGAGTAATTCAATGCAGTTTCCTTTTATCTGCCTTGCCAATTGATGTCTATACAGAGCAAGCAGGGCTCCCCAAACACATCAGTCTGTTTCAGATACACAAGATTAAGTAGCAAGTGACATTCAAGAGCAATCGGCCCACCCAGGAGGAGTGAAACCAGCGGAAAAGCTGTCAGATTCCGCCTTTTCTCCATTAATCTTGAAGCTTTTCAATGCTGCCAGGTCGCATCTCCATCAAACAAGCTGGGAAGAGTGTCGGGCTATTTTCTTTAGTCTCGCCCTCCCCTCCCCATCACCCCATTAACCCTTGCCATGCTAGGTTCTTCTTGTTTGGGAGCAGCCCTTATGTTAACACCAGTAGGTGGGGCAGCACAAAGGGCTGGATGGAGCCCAGTGTAGACCGTTTTTAGGTGCAGGCCAACATTTAGGTGGTTGGGAAAGAATGTTGCAGGAGTTTCTTGCATGATGGAACTGTTCACACTGCTAATGCAAGAAGGTAGGAAATAGCAGGTGTGTTTGGCTTTGGTAGACAGACCATATAATGAAGTACTCTCTTCCAGGCTGGTCTGGCTTGGAGTGAGTTGCATTTTCCTTAGTGTAGATTAGAAGTGTAGATCAGATGTGTATATTCATGCTTTCCTTCATTTGCAGGTGATCTTTTGCCAGTTTTGAGTTGGCTGCATTATGCAAGACCCAAGAGTTGACCATGGCATAGATACAGATCTCATTCTTCCCTGGGTGGTTCCTACAGCATGTTGAACATACTGTGTAGCCTATCAGGGAGGAGGCATTCAGGCTGGCGGCAGCCTTCAGATGTCGAATCATAGAAGCAAAGGGTGGCTGAGTGGCCGGAAAGTGGCACAGATTGTGAAGTGTTCATGTCAGGAATAAGTGATAATATATGTTGGAACTGAAGCCAAGTAACGGTGTTCCTCTGATACGAGGGGATGGGCCTGGCTGGAAGGAAATAGGCCTCTTGAGTTCCTAGGGATTGCATCCTGAGGATCATATTGAGGAGGGTGTGGCTTTCAGAGGGAGGTAACTACTGTGGAGGCAAAATTCAGCTCTGAGAATCTAAATCTGTGAGTATAAAGAATAGATGCAGAATGTAAAGGGAGCAGTGCATCTCAACTGTCTCTGACAGCAAATGTCTTGGGAAGATTATATAAAACATATAGCATCATATAGTGATAGCTCCTTCAGTAATCTTCTAGTTTTCAGTAACTTGTAGATAAGGAACTTCCCCATACCGAGGTGGCATCTCTCTCCCACCACTTCCTCCTTTTTGCTGTAACAATATAATGGTATTGTTTACTATTCTATGTCCTATAAATCTCTTATGTTCCTTTTCTACAAGTGATAGTTGAGTATCTGACAATCACAGACATAGGGACAGTGGATTTGTTTTTACCATAAATCAGAGTGACAATCATGAAAAGATGTGTGACCCTACCCAAATCAGATACCACTATCCCCTTTCTCACTTTGAAGCAGAATTGAAGCTAAGCAGAAATGGTCAGGGAGGAGCTGCAAAGTAAAATGATTTCAAGTCTTGAGCACACAAAGTGACTGTTCTGTCCCCCGGAGGAAGAAGTATCAGGAAGAGGTGGTGATGCTCAGTCTGCAAGGAATGTTTTCTTCTATCCTAACCTGGCAGATGCATCCTGGAAACATCTACTAGATCTCACCTTGAATGCTAGAGAGGGGGACATACTTCCTCTAAGCTATCCACTCCCAAACACTGCTTGTAATTCTCTCTCTGTGCTGTTAAAGCAAAAAGAAACTATATGATTTAGTTTGTAGGGTTTTTCTTTTAAAGGAATTTAAGAGGATTTTTTTACTAATGCAATCTAGGTTACTCCTTGTTTCTTCCTACTAGCTACTTTTAAACCAGATGTATTTTACTTAAGCATGCAGAAACTGCTTTTACGTTACTGCTGTAAATATGCTGTAAGTGGGCATGTTTCAATATGTTTGGGTTCTTAAGATATGTTTGTAGAAAATAGGCATTCATATTGTTTGTAGAATTCTGCCTTTAATGGCAGTGTGTAATAAATTTTCCAACTGCTTTTTATTTAGTCTCCTGTCTGAGTAGGCCAGTTATTTCAACTGGTCATTCTTCACATAAGGCACAACTCATGGTAGCCTTTGTGAACTGAATTCTGTATTAAGGCAGTGCAATCTGCACCAAATGGGGTATTAACA